CGGCAGAGGCAGCATGGCGAAGTTTCTCTTCCAGAGGCAAGTGGTGGCAAGTGGTGAGGACAGAGCAGTGTGAGCCAGTCTAGACGTGGGGACACCCTGAAGAGGCAGGGTAGAGAGGAGGGGTAGAGAGGTGGGCAGAGGTGGGGAGAGGCGGGCGGATGGGGGAGAGGCAGGCGGAGCAGGGGAGAGGCAGGGCCTGGGGCAGCTTTGGTGGCTTCAGGGCCGGGAGCTGGAGGTGGGGGTGGATAAGCCTGGGATGTCTGGGGGCCAGGTCCAGCCATGGGGACAGGAGCAGACTGAGGACAAGGACGGAGGGTGCCTTCTGCTCTGGCTGTGTGGCTTCCAGGCAATGAGGTGATGGGAGCTCAGGGAGAGCCTGGGCCAGAGCCACGGACTTGGGAGTCCCCTGCTCAAAAGCAGGAAAAGCAGAGCCCAGATGGGCTCGCCCAGGGTGCTGAGGGTAGAGGCAGGCAGCGATGGGTGGAGGATGGGGAGAAGCTGGCGTTCCCTCTTTGAGGTGCCAGAGCTGGGCTAGAGAGGGCAGGAGATGGTCACCGAGCCAGGGTCATTGTCTTAGAAGTGCTGGCCACCACCATCTAGGGAGAGGGTGACTGAGAACACCCTTGCCTTTGGAAAATAGGACCACAGCCAGCAGCGATTCAGGGTCCAGCAGGTGGTGGGGGCGGTGAGTGGATAGGGGAAGAGAGAAAGAGGTGATGGGGGAGGTGGGCAGGGACCGGGGGAGTATGCTCCTCACCCACGGAGCTGCAGGGGCCTCACTCACAACCTGAGTGCCTGGCCATGATCACCCCAAACAGGTCTCAAAACGTGAGACCAAGGGGGGCACAGGTGGGCTCCGCCAGCCTCTCAGGATGAGGGATGAACCAATGTGAGAGTGGAGACCTGGTCCCTGGAGGAGCACCATGGGGCCAGCGCCACCCTCTGGACCTGGGGCTCAGCTCAGACCCCAGGCCAATGACCCTAGGAGGCCAGGCCTGGCTGGCTCCAGCAGAAGTCATGAAACTGGCCAGGGCCACTGTACCCAGGGTACTTGGTTAGTGAGAGGGAGTGAGTCCCAGCGCCTTTGCAGCCCAGGTGTGTGTTTGTGCTGGCTGAGTACCGTTTCCATGGACGGGGGCCTGGACTGCCAGCTGTGCCTGTGGACATGGGGGCAAGAGGGTCAGAGGAAGGAGAAGACTCTGTAGCCACCCTAATTGTCTCTCTGGAGAGGAAGACAGAGCGAGAGGTTGACTCTGTCTGACCCCCACTGTCCCTTGGGGAGACTACCTAATGAGAGCAAGGGAGCAGCCGTCTGTGTGTGCGTGTAATTTCGTGTGTGCACGCATCTGTGTGTGTGTTTGTTGGTCCAGGGCTGGTGAGAGGTGCTCAGCCTCTCCGAGGACCACAAAGCCCGGCCGTAGAAGGCAGGTAGGGTTGGTGCCGGCTTTTCTCTGGGTGCTTGGTGAAATGCACATTCCTAGGCCCCAGACACACTGGATCAGAGTGTCGTAAGCGGAACTGTTAATTTTGAGTGAGCTCCGTAGTTGATTTTCATGTAAGTGCAGGGAAAAACCCACAGGCCTATGGTATCTTTGGAAACCTTGGGAACCTCCTTGTTGCAAGCACGCACTTGTGTTGAAGGCTTCATAAGATTAAGGACGGGCCCCCTTCTCTCCTGGCCAGGCTAGAGGGGCCCTTCCAGTCCACAGCCTGCCCTTGCATGGAGACCTCGATGGTGCAGGAAGTTTGAATGAAGAGGAATGGGGGTGTGTGGGGGAGGGGACAGCTGGTCTGCATGACAAGGGAGTGGCTTTGCTGCCTGCCTGCATTTCTCTGCAGGGCCTCTCCTAGTTTTGGGATGGGGGATACTGAGTAAGAGATGGAAAAAGGCCTGGAGCTGGTCTGGGCGCAGCCACTCATACAGCTGTGAGGTTTTGGACTGAATCAGCCATCAGCCACCTGCACTGAACATCAGTTCCCTCCAGGAGCGCTGTGCTGCCCCAGACTGAAAAAGTCAGCATCTCCGGGCATGGGGTCGGACACAGGTCTTTGGTTCTCAGCCCTTAAATGATGATCCTTTTCAATTGGAGTCTCTGATCCCCCCACCAGCTGGACAATAGACAGGGGAGAAGGTTCAAGGAGAAGCACCCCTGGCCAAAAGTTTTCCCATTATGCTGATATTATGGGTGCTTTGTCAGCATTTGAGTAACAGATGACATGGCTTTTGATTCGGGACAGGCTGAGGCTATAAAAAGGCCAGCATTTTAAGAGATGCTAAATGATTACTGTAGAGAAAGGAATCAAGGAGAAGGCACAAAAGTCCCCTCAGCCAATGGCCCTGAAATTCTTTATCTCCAGATCAGAAGAAAACACAGAGTTGTCCATTAACAGCAAATGTTTAAAATATAAAGTGCAACCCCACATTGGGGTGGGGGGGTGGTGTTGGGGGAGTTAAAGCAGTTGTGTTTGTAAACTAAAAGGTGAATCCCATTGGCAGATAACTTTTCAGTTTAATGTTCAGCTTTGTAAACCCGAGTTGTTTCCAGCTACTGATACCTGTACAGAAGTAAAATATTGCTAGAGGCAAAATGTAATCAGCTGAGCCAAAAATCCCATTTAATTTACTCCCCTATCTTGCAGTAAGTCATTTACTCACTATCTTGCAGTAAAGTCACTCAACAAGGTGTTGGCTACCTTTAGCTAAGGTGTTTATGTATAGGATCTAAATCAACACGAAACAAAAAATATGATACAACGGAAGATGTGGACTTTGGAGTCTGAAATACCCGAGTTATATCCAGGCTTTGCTCCTAACTGGCTGTGTGAGTTTGGGCAAGTCTGTCTCTCTTCTAAGCCTCGGTCTCCGTTTGTGAAGTGGAGATAATACCTGCTTTCCTATTTCACAAACGTGGAGAAGTTTAAACCTCACGAGTGAACATTTATATCAAGAGTCTCTAGTATGGTACCTGACACATTTTAGGCATTGAATACTTTGCAGTTACGATGAAAATATGGATATATCCTCACACTATGTTTGTCACGCAGTTTCATATTACCTATTTCTCAGCAATACAGTGAGGAAAACATCACTTAGCCCATTTCACAGATGCTGAAACTGAGTTGCGATCACTGGGACTTGAGCCCAAGTCCTTCAGCTCCAGGTCCCATGCTCTTTCCATGGGTTGGAACATCTCTTAGTGAATGAATGGGGACTTCAAATCACAGAAAAGGTGCCCAGTGGATGCTTCATGCCAGCCAGTAGCGAAAATTGCTGCACACCCCCTGCATGTCAGCATTTCTAGAACCTCAGTGCAGTCTGTTCCACTGGGGGCCTCTGGTTACCATGCCAGTTCTTCACTGATTGACATGTGACCTGTGAGTGTAACTCTTCATCAGCACTTCATCCAATATGCAGAAACACTACCCCCCAATTACATCACAGTTTACATATATATATAATTATGCTTTTATTGTAAACACCTTAAGGAATCACCTTTGCAGAACATTTAAAAAATATGTCAATTTTTTTTTTTTTTTTGAGACAGACTATTACTCTGTCACCCAGGCTTCAGTGCAGTGGCACAATCTTGGCTCACTGCAACGTCAGCCTCCTGGGTTCAAGTGATTCTCCTGCCTCAGCCTCCCGAGTAGCTGGGATTACAGGCATACATCACCGTGCCCAGCTAATTTTCGTATTTTTAGTAGAGATGGGGTTTTACCACGGCGGCCATGCTGGTTTCGAACTCCTGACTTCAGGTGATCCGCCCTCCTCAGCCTCCCAAAGTGCTGGGATTATTACAGGTGTGAGCTACCACGCCTGGAGAAACACCTAATGTAGATGACAGGGTGACGGATGCAGCAAACCACCATGGCACATGTATACCTACATAACAAACCTGTACGATCTGCACATGTACCCCAGAGCTTAAAGTATCATAATAAAAAAGAAGTTTTAAAGAACATCTCCATCTGTGGATAGAAGACCGCAGACACATAGAGACTGCAGACGCCCAACCCTTGCTTTGTGTGGATACATTTAGACAACTGGTGGGTGGCTTTTGGCATTGTAGCACAGAGTTCATTTTAATACATCTAGATGCCACAGAATGCTCTGGAACATGCAGGAAAGTGGTGAGAATGAGTCACAGACATTCTAACCCGTCCAGGAGCTCCCTACCTGTACAGGGCTCAGTCTAAGCCCTGCTATAGAAAGGTGTGCAGAGAGGGCATTTTTAAAATCCTACAAATGAAAAACAGAATTAAAAAAATCTATAAAGGGCACAGGCAAATCAATTCATTAAAAGGAAAAAAAAGCTAGAACCTCAGTAGAAAAATGGGTCAAAAGCATGCACACATAATTTACACACAAATGGTTTAAAACCCTAGAAAAAATCATAATCTCATTAGTTATCAAATATGTATCTAAGATAGCACTGCATGAAAATAAGGTAGTATTTTTTGCTGATAAAATTTGTGAATGGTTTTTCATTTTTGATGACAATATCAAACACTGATCATACTCTCACCATGAGTATAGATCGTTAGAAAAAACATTTTGGCTGCAGGATATGAGAAGTCTCAAAAATGTTGATATCCTTTGGCCCAATAATTCCATGCCTGGGAATCTATCCTAAGGAATTAATCAGAAGATCAAGAAAAAAAAAGTTTTAAGAACAAAACAAGGGAACCCATCTAAAAGGTCAAAAACAGGAAAATGATAAAGTGTTCAATATACTCATTAATGGCACATTATTCAGGTGTTAAAAGATAGCTTTATGATTTTGAGATAAATGGGGGAAATCCTTACATTGTTAAGTATTTAAAACCTGTGTACATATAAAGAACGTGTCAACTGTGAAATGGTGAGAAATGAGAAGGAAATACATCCAGCTGTTAACAGAAGTCTCTGAGTGATGGGATTATTTCTTTCTCCCTGCTTTTCTGCATTTTCCACTTTTTTTTATTACAAAAAGTATGAATTAAGGAAAAACAACTTGGACTTTGGTTCTGAGAACAAACTTTATCAAATGACTCCGAAGTTATCTGCTTTGCAGAAGTATTTCTGCAGAGTCACCAAATACATTCAAGACTGGAAAAAAAGCACCTCAAAGTCAAATGAGGTGAGTGCCCACAGACACCAAGGAGAAAAGGAACAGGAGATCGATCGGGAAAAGACAGTGAGAAACACTTGCTAGCAGAAAACAAACCCACAAACAGAAGCTATACTGGAATCTTTCCAATCAGTTCCATCTTTCAGGCTCTATAGGCAAAGGAATGGGAGCCAGGCTGACCTCCAATAACGGGGCAGATGTGCAGGCCCCCTTTATTTGCACTGCGTGTGGGACAGGCCACAGAGCTCTCTGAAGCTTCTGGACTTAGAATCACAGGACAGCACGGCATGGGCTGTGTCCTTAGCAAGTCCTTGGTTTTGTCCATCTGCTGTGCACGTCTCCAGTGGACTGAGTGTTACTCAGGTTTGCAGAAAAAATATGAATAGAAACGATCTCTCAGGCTCACAACCATATTGCAGCTTGATCTTGTCTAGAAATCTAAGTCATTTTGGCCAAAGCCATCTGCCCTGCCCACCGCTGCAGTGGGGGCAAGGCTTCTGAGTGCCTGGTCATCTCGTAGGTCACAGCCTTCACTGGCCCCCTGCTCTGGAGTCCTTGGGCCTGAAGGTACCTCTTCTTGCTCAGAAGTGGAACTTTCTGGATACATCCTCATGGTCTTCCTCTCTGCATGGCCATCTCCTAGACTGACCTGAGGGCTCCCTTTTTTCTCACCTTGAGTTTCTCCTTCCGACTTTGGCTGGGCCTCCCCTTCAGCCTCTGGGGCCTCTACGCCTTCTGACTCTGGCTGGGCCTCTTCTTCTGCCTCCTGGGCCTCCCCTTCAGCCTCTGGGAACTCTATGCC